TATTCTGACTTGTTCTGTTGTATACTTTCAAAATAAAAATTTGAAAAAAGCCTCCCAGGTGACCCTAACGTGCAGTCAAAGGTTGAGACCCACCACACTGTAATGTAGCTGTTACATCTGAGCTGACAGAACCGCACATGTGCTTCTGAAATGAATCTTTCACAATCACTGAGGGTTTTGGAAAACCTAGAGATTCCTAGGTTTCTCCCTAGAACTAAATCAGAACCACAGACAGGGCCCTGGAAAGGATTTGTGTCCTTGGATAATTACGACAGGTGGCCAGATCTGAGTGCTCTCTCCTAGACAAGAACTAGGTCATTCATTGCATTTGTGCCCCATAACTGGACAATGATAAAATAAATGTGTGCAGTGAATGCACTGTAGGAAAGTGCATCTAGTGACCAGGTGTTATATAGTCTATATTCAAACTTCCTGCAACAGTTCAGGGAAAAGCCTTCCACAACAGAACGCAAATACTAGAAGTTTTTCAAGTCTGTTTTTTAATCCACTATTGCCCCCTACTGACCTAAAGATGAATAGCTAAATCAATACATGGTTAGGTTTCAATTAAACATGCAGGTTAACTAGTTACACATTTTGTACTTTTCAGCAACACCTATACTACCAGCTTCTTGGCCGCCCAGCCCTCTTTGCTCCAAGCTATTAACACCCAAACTCAGATCATCCCTCCCATTTGCTCTGCCGCCCTCCACAGCCCCATGGAGCAGGACTCCCAGCAATGCACTTTTAGGACCACTGGGGGTTTTTGTTCCCTGGTCAGTGACTCTTCCAAATCCCCATCCATTCCAAAATAACAAGAACTTTTGCCTCAATTCTTGGTTATTCAAAGTGTGGTGGAGGCCAGCACACCTCTGTAGCACCCAAGAAACTCATTGACAATTCAATCATCTGAGGCCCCTTCCCAGACCTGCTGAATTGGAATTGGGATTTTTTTTTTTTTTTTTGCATAACAGTGGGGATTGAATCCAAAGCCTTTGTACTGAGCTACATCCCCAGTCCTTTTTTATTCTGAAGCGGAGTTTGTTAAATCACTATGTGGCCCAAGGTGAGTTCAAACTTGTAATCCTCTTGTTTTGGCCTCAGAGCACTGAAACCTGGATTTTAACAAGTCAAACTTGATAAGCACTGGCTCTCAAGTACTAAACCTAACATTTCCATATGATTACAAATATTTGCTAATCCTTTCGCTATTCTGAAATAAAATTCACCCACCAACACAGGAACATCTCCACCCAAAGATCTTAGCTTATTGACTTCATGGTAACACAAAGATGACAAAAGGAAAGGTTCATAAGAATTCTATTTGTGTACATAAATGTTCAATACAACCAAATAAAAACATAAAGAACTCTTTTAGCCTCTGAGACATATCCTAAGGTACCATTCAGTTAGGAATCACCGGTCTACAATCACTTCTACTCTTCTCTTCCTTCAGTCTCACAGAAAAGAATCTCTTTTCCTCTTTTAAAGCTAGGATTATTTTTGCCAGGATCTGAACCCAGGGTATGTGAGACAAATACTCTACCACTGAGCTCCCCCAGCCAGGATTCTCTTTTATAAACCTCCCTTCTCCACAGTTCCTCTCTGGACCATAAAAACTGACAAATCTACAATAATGTAACAACCACAAAACAGCTCTAAAATTTAGAGCCAATATTTCATTCTAGTTACCATATTTTCTCCCTCAACAATAAACGTCGTATCCATTTACTTACCTCTGTCACCAGTCCATGCCAATCTAACATTCACCTCCATCAAGAAACGTACAAGGATCATAAAAGATTTCCAAAGTGCCCAAATCAATGAAAACTTGTCCAAACTTATCTAGTTGTCCTCCTTGAAATGGACATTATCAGTTAATGTTGTCTCCATTACCCCTCTTACTTCGTAAAACAACCTCATCACGTTCAGGAATTCATTCCTCTTCACGTGATTAAGTTAGATCCTGTGGAGTCTAAACCAGCCAGGGGTGGCATTCCCCCACCAACTGCTATTTGATCAGGGCAGACACCTGACCTAAATTGGTCCAATCTGCCTGTGAAGGAGGACATAATCCAAGCATGGGAGTCATGGGAGTTTTGTCCTCCCTCCTTCTCTTGCTCTAGCACATACGTGTGCATGTGTGTGTGTTTGTACACATGCGTGTGCAGTTATCCCATAACCATAAGGGAGACTGATATATCATGGAAAGCAAAGAAGAGACCTGTCCTTGAAGACATGGTCGATCCACCCAACCAGGAGTCTGGAGTCTGTCCTTCCTCTGGATTTTGTGAGATCATTTTCTTACTATTTAAGCAATTAAGTTTTCCCAGCTCAAACCATCCTAACACAGTCTGTCTTTCTTGAAATTTTCTTCCCTTGGCTTTCTCTTTTTTCTTTTTTTTTCCCCTCCCAGAGCACTGAGCCTCAAACCCCAGGGCCTACTGCAGTCTACTCTACCACTGAGCTGCATTCCCTGCCCCACCTCACTTCATTTTCTAAGCCTCATTCTTTTCTACTCCTGCATCCCGGTCTCCCCTCTTCCTTCACCTAACCCTGACATCTTGGTGTCCTACTCCACTCAAAAGTACACATTTCCCAGGAATCATTTCAGTGCACCGAAACCCTCCGTTGACACATGCAAACCCAGCTCCTCCTCGATAAAATTCCTTTCAAAACTAAATCTAAATGTCCCCTCTGGGAAGGACACCTTCAAGTCCCCAGAACTTCTTTGCCTTTTGTGTGATATGAACCTCTTTGGTGAGTCCTCATCTCAAAAAAAAAAATGGTTCTATTACATAAACTATCAGTTATAGTAAAATATAATTTTTTATAGTAAAATATAATTTTTTAAACCCGAAATTCTAATAGAGTGATAAGTGGTGCCCCAGTTTAAGAACACTTTTGTTTGTGAATAATTTGGTGGGCAAACAGAAGCATTTGGCAAAATTTTGTGAACTTTGCATCAGATGATGAAAACAAATGTGGCCATCTTTTCCAGAATCGTAAAGCAAATTAAGTTCATGAACCAAGGAAAGTACAACTGTATGTGCTTATTAGCCTATTAAAAAGACCTAGCACCAGGGCCCTCCAACTACCACAATTTTGAAGTCATGATGAGCATAAATGATATTTGGAAGGCACCAGTAACTGTAGTGTAATATAAAAAATATTTGTGATTTGTACTGGTATTATGACTTCAGTGGCTGGCAATTCTTGCTAATACTACCTTGGTTTGTAGCTATGGGGAACTGTTATATTAATCATACCCACTGAACCACAACTCTTCATATCCATGCCCCTGTGTAGTACCCTACCACATCAACTCTGGACATAGCTTGACATCAGCAAATGTGATGCAGATAAGTGTTTGCATACCAGGAACCACAAGAAAAAGCCCAAGCCAGGCACAGAGGGGCAGAGCTTGCTATGGGAATGAACTCACCTTTCAGTTAAGCCACCAACTGAATTCAGTCACCAGTAAACCTGTCTACACAACCCATAGTTTGTGAGAAATAAGCATTATGGTTTATGGTGTTTCAGTACCCAGTAATGGGTAACTAAAATAGTCATTCATACTGATAACTGAAGAAGTACTCAATTTCAGTTAGAGATTGGTAAAAACAAAGATTTTTCCCCCTATGAGTTTAGGAACCCCAAGTTCTATTTCCGCAGACCCTTTAAGGAGCTGAGGCCCCAAAAATAAGGGTCACTATTTAGGGTGAGATCATACTATCCCTTCTACTACCATAATACATTGTTGGTACCCACATAATTAAACTGATTCCAGTATATCTCTTCTCACCATAACTCTAAAAGAGCTGAGGTCTCAGAACGTAATAGGTGTTTAACACTTATTAAGTGGATGCAAGCTGCAAATAGGATGTTTTCTCAACTAAATTCTTAGATGTCATTTCTATATGCCAAGGTCTTTTCCAAATGCTTTACACATACCGACTAATCCTAATCCTGTAAGAAGCTATTACCCTAGTCTCACCAACAGGCAGAGAGGGTAGGTGACTTGTCCAAGGTCACACAGCAAGAAAGTGGCAATGTTAGAAGTGGGAAGTCAGAATTCATGGTGATTTCATAGCCTAATTTACTAATGGTCCAAAAACACATTGCAGCTTAATGAAACTTTTAAACGAGCAACACAATTATGAAATTTCGCTGGAGATGTGAGTGGTGGAGTTCCTGCCTTGCATGCACTAGGTCCTGAGTCTGATCCCCAGCAACACAAAAAAGAAAAAAAAGGTTTCATTGGCAATATTTTATAGACACTGTTATTTCTTAAAGACTCAATTTTGTAAATTAATTTATGGTAGCACATGATTTGATTTTATGGTTGAAAATACTTTCCAAAAGAATAAAACAATGGCTTTCTGCTAAAATGCAGGTTTTCGAAATAGTCTTCAGTGTAGAAGTCGATTTCTTTCCAAGGACACAAGTTTAGAAAATACAAGGGTTCTTTTCCCTATGAATAAGCTCACTGGGCAAAGTTGGGCAGAGCTCCATCTGCCCTTCTCCAGCAGCGTTCCCAGGCCGACCGGCTCCCCACACCCTGCATCAGCTTCTCCAAAGGAGACCCTCCCCCAGCCACATTCCAGGTTCTGAAATCTGACTCTGCCAAGCAACCAAACCCTCAAAACGCAGCAGAGCCCTGAGCTGACCTCATCCTACCCACGACTCCAAGAGGCTAACAGCCCTGGAGGTGGGTACTTTAGAGGGAGACACTTTAACTTTTGAAAGTTTTATTCACGAGATCACGACCCAAATGGTAACCCCACGCATCCCGAGATCTCACACCTCTGCCTGGCATCCACTCGCCCCAAGCAGATGTGTGAATGAACAGCGAGGGCGGGACGCAGCCAGCCCGAAGGCGGGAAAAGCCTCAGGGAGAGCTGGACCTGGGCCCCCGAAAGGCCCCACTAGAGCGAGGGGAGGGCTCCGGGCGGTCGGGAGGGGGTGATGACAGGTGTGACCCAGCTCCATGCTCTCACCTTGAACATGCTGGCAGCGGCGGCTCCGGCAGGGTCACCCCGGCCTTGGCCCCGCCTACTATAGAAAGTTGACTACGGCGGCCCGGTAGGGCCCTGATTCTCCCGAGCGCTCGCGAGCTGCAGCGTGGGTGAAAGCCGTATCGCAATCTCGATGTCGCCAAGCCTTAATTCAACCACCCTGAGCAGGAAGTAGTTTTACACAGATGCAGCGCGTCGTGCCTGGGGCGACCTGCCAATGTAAGCCCCGCCCCCCAGGAGGTCCCGCCCCTGCGCCGGTGGTTGCTAGGCAGCAAGAAAGTGCCGGCGGGTTCCGAGTAGGCGGCTCGCGGAGGTGCAAGCAAAGTGGCGACGGCCGCTGCGTGGCGCTGGGAATCTGCGTCCACCGCCGCGATTGGGCGCCCTGCGTCGTGGGCGGGGAGTTCTGTGAGCAGAGGAGGCCGAGTGGGGGCGCTCGGCGACTCTCTGTGTCTTCCTCAGGCCTCGCGGCTGGAAATCGGCGGTAGGGGCCTGGCTTTATGTCATCAAAGGGTTTTGATCTTTACCTTGGACTGAACGTTTCTCAGATTTTTAATTTAAACTAATTTAAATGGCTTTTTAAAAAAGATATTTGAGTTTCAGTTCCTCCCTAGCAATCCCAAGTATTTGTCCCTTAATAGGAGAAGTAATAGTGGCAGTGATTATTAACAAGAATAGCAAGCCTTATTATATCACTGTGGGCGCAGCACTGATCTAAACTTGCTACATATGTTCGTCCTCCACAAGCGTGGCCACCAGTATCGTTTACAATCTGTAGATGAAGAAGCAAAGGCACTGAGACGTCAAACATTTGTACAGGACCACACAGAAAGTGAAAATCCGGGAGCCAAACCCCGGTGGTGTGCCTTTAAAGTTTGTGTGTAGCCTCAACAGTTGTGTGGGGTTTTGTTCTGGTGGGGGGAGGTTTGAGACAGGGTCTTGCTATGTAGTCTAGGCTGGCCTTCAACTCATTTTGTAGCCCAGGCTGAACTCCCAGAGATCCTCCTGCCTCAGCCTTCTGGGTGCCTAGATTACAGGTATGCGTTACCACACCTGGCTCACGGTTGTTAGACTACCTCATAATGAGTGTATATTTCCCGTTTCCTCCTGTGTTTCCACCCTAACCCCATGAAAGTGGAAGCCCCTTTTCAATGAGTGTCAGGTGGATTCTGGGATGTATGCAGCTGTCCATCAGCCACAAAGTGCTAGGAACACCCCTGTAGTTGCAAGAAGTCAGGCTTCTTTTCTTTGATTTTTTTTTTTACATAAAGAAATTTACTTTCTTAGAAGTTTGGTTTCAGATTGCTGTGATGAAAATATTTGGGAGCAATGGGTATTTCAGTGAGAGATTGATTGTAGGATTTAGGCTTTGGACTAGAGGTAAAGGTTAGGAAGCAGAGGGAACAAGGTACAGCTGTGAGTGGCAGGCCCGATCCCAGATGTTAGGGCTGCTTTTTTTTCTCTCTCTCTCTCAGAAGGATTGTTTATTCCGAGCCATCTCCACCCCTATCCCTAGGGAGAAATATTGTCTATGCTGAAGACCTCAATCTGTCATGTAGCATCTTACATGTGTAGTGTGAAGCACAGTGATAAATTAGAAGGGGAATTCAGTACTGGGAATGAACCCAGACCCTTCACATTGAGCTCCCCATCCCCAGCCTTTTTATTTTTTACTTTGAGATAGAGTCTCACTAAGTTACTAAGTTTCCCAGACTGGGCTCAAACTTTTGATCCTTCTACCTCGGCCTCCTAGAGTGTTGAGATTACAGGCATGCACCACCATACCCGATTTAGAACAGAATTTTTTTTTGTCTTTTTCCTTTTTATCGGTACCGGGGATCAAACCCACGACTGCCTGCTTGCAAGGCAGGCACTTATGCCGCTGAGCTAAATCCCCAGCCCCTAGAACAGGAATTCTTAATTCAGGGGGCATGTGAACTTGGACAGGGAAAATAACGACAACTTTGTTTTTGCTAACCACTAGCTGAATTTAATGTTTATTTCAGTTACACTGTAGGCAACCAACCACAGTAGTGTTAGTAGGACCTCCGACTTTGTCATCAGTAGAAAGCAGAGACAATGTCATACCATGTTAGTCATGACAGATGGCTCAAAATATCTCACTATGCTCATTACCACTTTAAAAACACAGGCACTATTAGATTTCTTATTTCGTTTCAGGTTTTTTGTGTTTTGTTTTAAGACAGAGTCTCACTATATTGTTCAGACTTGCCTTGAGCTCACTATGTAGTCCAAACTAGCCTCAAACTGAAGGGGTACTCCTGTCTCTGCCTTCCAAATGCTGGGATTACAGGTGTGTGCCAACACACCCAACTCTTATTTTGTTTAATGCATAAAAGCACATATTACTATAAATTTGTTTGGACCACATGGGTGGAAAAAAAGACTGCTTTGAGGATGCAACTAAAAATTTGGTAGTGCCATCCAAATCGAAGTAATGTTTCAAAAAATAAAAAACTAGAGGTGGAATCAGGTAATTAGTACATACTCTCTTACTTTACCAATGATAGGACTGAGCCACAGAGAATGTGAAGGCCTTGCCCAAAGCCTCATAGCTATTTGCTAAATTTAGGATGAAAAATTTTCAGACAAGTCTGTAAAAACTCATTCCATAGCTGAGTATGGTAGTGCACGCCTGTAATTCCAGCACTTGGGAGGCTGAGGCAAAAAGATCCCTGCACTTGAGTTCGAGGCTAGGCTGGACTTCATAGTGAATTCAGGTCAGCCTGAACAACATAGCAAACTGTGTCTCAAAAACAAAAAAAAAACGAAATGGTATAATAATATGAATTGTGACCTTAACGGCTTAATTTATATACTTTTAGATTACCTCATTATAAGGAAAATGAATCACTCCTCAAAGGCAAAAGGTCTCAATGTTCCAAAATCAGATAAGCAACACTCAAAAAAAAGCCACACAGCACATTTGCCACAGGTTTCAAAGGCAGAGGAGATACCAGCGCAAGAGTAAGTACCTGTTTTTTCCCTTGTGTCATTTTTATGACTGGACAGTTTCTACATTTACCTTGATAAACTCAAACACTTCTTGCACAAATTAAAAGTTTTCTGATATGCGGGCCGCTGCCAGATTAAGGACAACCAGACCCAAGCCTCTCTCTGTGAGTCAGCACCATTTGCAGACTGAGGGGGAGAGAACCAGACCTCACCAGGAAGTGATACCACCTGGAAACCATATCATTTTCATTATTTTGTTGGGTTGGGTTTTATTCTCTTTTATTTTATTTGATTATGTTAAATCTGATGGCATAAGTAGCTATTTAAAAGATAGCAAGACATATTACAGTAGCCATTTTGGATTTACTATTGGCTTGTTTTGAAGTCCTTTATTGCATTCATTATTTTGTTTTTATTACTTGTATTCCATTCTGTTCTATTTGATTTTTACTATGTCTGAAGGTATCTGTAGCTATTTTGAAGACAACAAAAGACATTATGGTAACTATTGTTTGTTTTGTAAGGTCTTGAAGCCCTGTATCACTTATACTGGTTTGTTTTGATTGGTTTTATTGTTTTATTTTCCTTGGCTTTATCCTCTTTAAAATAAAAAAAAATTTCTGTGCTTTAAAATTACTTTCACCAGTCACAGTGGTGTGCCTGTAATCCCAGCATTTGATAGGTTGAGGCAGCAGGATCACCTTGAGTTCAAAGCCAGCCTGAACTACATAGGGAGACCCTGTCTCAAAAAAAAACCCACAAAAAATCAAATATAAATAAAGTAACTTTCAAATTGAATAACTTACCTGATACAACCTGGTGAAACAGTTTTATTATTCATTTTTATGCATGAGGGAGAAGCAGCCAGAAGGAGGTGAGTGATTTGCAGAAAGTGAACGAATTCATCCTGGAGCTTCTGGGACTGGAAGGCTGTTTCTACCCCTCAGGCTTCTTCATCGGGCAGCCTGCATCCGGCCAGCAGTGCTGCCAGTGTTCCTCTGCGGGAAGCTCCAGGGATGGTGGTGGGGCGGGAGGTTGCAACACCCTTTCCTACCTGGGTAATCTGCCCGTGGGGGAACATCACCAAATGTGGTGCATGCCTGTCATCCCAAGCACTCTGAGAGGCTGAGACAGGAGGATCATAAATTGAGTTAATAAGACCCTGTCTTGAAGTTAAAAAAAATTGTAAAAAAAAAAATCGAATACAGTTCAGTATGGAGGCCCCTGCTTCAATCACCTATATCACCAAAACAAAAGCAAAAAGTAGAATAATTGTCTAATCGGACTGGGATGAGCCTACTCCAAGCTAAGATCCGAAAAGGGCCTTTTTTTTCTAGCTCATAGGCATGAGCCCTTGAAGAGATTGTAGTCTAACAACTTCAGCACTTGGGCATCCCATTTGCACCAAACTGGAGTGAGCTAAGCAGTGCTTTAAGAACTAACTGAAAACATGAGGCATGGTGGTGCATGATTGTAATCCCAGCACTTGGGAGGCTGAGGCAGGAGGATCACTGTGAGTTCAAGGGCAGCCTGTACTACATAGCAAGAGCCTATCTCAGGGGGAAAAAAAGAACACAATAATTTTCTAAAAACAAGCCACTAGCCTCATATTTTTTTAGAAAGCAAGCCACCAGCCTCATATTTTTTATTTCCTACATGCCTTCTTCTCTTTCTTTCTGTCTGTTTTTGGAGAGGGCTGCTGGCGATTGAACTTGGGGTCTCACACATGCGAGGCAAGTCTGCTAACACTGAGCTATACCCCCCAGCCCTATTTCTTAGACATCTCTTGTTTTTCAGTACTGAGGATTGAACCCAGGGCTTTCCCACTGAGCTCTATCCTCAGCCCTTTTATCTTTTTTATTTTGAGATGAGGTCTCATTAAGTTGCCCACAGTAAACTCAAACTTGTGATCCTGCCTCAACCTCCCAGTGTTGGGATTATAGGTGTGCACCCCGATGTCTGGCTTTTTATATGCCTCTTAGTGATAAATTCACTTTCTGTGCACTTCCTGATGAGAAAGTTTTAGCCAGGATTTTTTAAATCTCAAGGGAAGTGTTCTTAAGCTTTTCATATCCTTATTCTGATTAATTCTGCAGATGACCAGTTCTAATTACTACATCCAAATTTTCCTCATTAAGTCTGTCTGCTTGTGGGGCATGGGAAGGTATAGGAAAAGGAAACAGAAGTTGAGAGTTCTCTAAGATCTTAAGAAAATGAAAACTTCAGAAATATGAACCTCTTTTTTTTTCCTCTCATAATTAACAGAGACATTTCAGCTCGAAAAATACAGAGAGCATGGTTCATGCATTTGGACAAAGTGATATTTCAACTCCTAAAACACACAATTTGTGCAGCGGTATGTATTTTTCTATTTTCTCTGGCAGGTTCAATTGTTTACTAAGTAAAAAGATCTGTTAATTAAACAGAATAGATAACCCTCTTTCTGTCTTCTATTTGGTTCTAATAATACTACACAGGATTCTGGAATTGCTTCTTTTGTTAGCCATAAATGAATATTTGAGGAATTTTTTTTTGAGACAGAGTCTCACTATGTAGCTCAGGTTGGCCTTGAACTCGCAGCAATCTTTCTGCCTCGGCCTCCTAAGTGCTGGGATTCCAGGCATGTACCCCCATGCCCTGCTTGAACTTATTTTTGGTATAGACAACTTTTCTTTTTGTTGTCATTTCTTTTCCTGAAATTAATATAGTGTGTTCATTTGTTTGTTTAGGTCTTGCTATGTAGTTTAGGCTGTCCTTGGACACACTGTGTAGCTCAGGCAGACCTCCCAAATGCTGGGATTACAGGTGTACAGCACCAGCCCAGCTTGAACTTGAGTTCTTATTTGAAAATGTGAGACTGATGTGGCAGCAGTAGTAGAGGCTGGGTGTAGCTCAGTGGCAGAGCCTGGGATTAGCATGCATTCAATCCTCAGCACTCACCCAGCATGACTGAATTAAAAGTGCCCATAGTTTCACTTCTAAGAGCATTCTATAAATGGGTATAATTTTACTACAGCATTGATTATAACCGCAAGGAAAGTGAACCATGTGGTATCCATTGATAAGATGCAGATTAAAGAAGTGTTGCTCCGTGTTTTGTTTTGGTTTGGTTTATGTCTCACTACATAGTTCAAGCTGGCTTCAAACTCACTACATAGCCCAGGCTGGCCTCAAACTTTGAGCAGTCCTGCTGCCTCAGCCTCCCGAGTGCTGGGATTATAGGTGTGCTGCCATGCCTGGCTGTTGCTGTTTTCGTAATGTTAAATCTAGCAGCATCAGCCTGACTCTGCAATAGAAAGATAACCAAGATACTTTATGGTGAAAAAGGCCAGTCAGAACAGTATAAAAAGTATAATTCTAGTTAAATAAAAATAAAAACCGATGTACATCCTCCCTCCTCCCCAAAATGACTTTTGTGATCCCATCAGAATATTAAGGCTCCCCTGGTATAGTACCAAATGTTCTCCTAATAAAATGGCCCATAATTCCAGTAGTCTGCTATTAGTAATAGTCACATGTAGGGACTTCTGGCAGCCCCTCAAAAATCATAGATCTGAGCTGTGTATGACTTTGCCATGTGACCACAGACGTATTTCTGCATAGAAAGCAGAGCACCTCAGAGAAAAGCCACCCAAGTAAACTCGTGACGTTCGCGGTCCATTGTCCATTGTCTCACATGCAGACCTTAGTTTTAATGATCATATTACTGTTTTCCTCCTAGCTTTAGACTCAGTAACAGAAAAAGGGAAGTGAATTCTTTTTTCATCTATCACCTTAAGCTTCAGTCAATACTTACATTAATAATGTTTGTATTGCTAAAAGCCTTTTATTATACTTATTTCATGTGATTATCATAGTCATAAAGGTTGAGCAGGGTCATTGAAGGGAAATATTGGGAGTTTTAGAGTCAGACCTAAGTTTGGATTCTCAGCATCTCTGTATGCTGTAGGGTAAGTTGTAAAAATTCCCTGAGCCTCAGCCTTCTCATTTGTAAGATGAGGGTGATAGTATTGTAATAATAAATGCTGTTGTGAGGATTCAACGAGGATCATAATAGGGCACCTGACATAGTTAAGTGCATACAAGGTGCTTATCAGCTAGTGACTTACTGTCATCATCCTCACGTTACAGTCATTTATTTAGCATCAAATACTTGTTAAGCATCTGTACCAGATGCTAAGAATATAGCAGTAGGAAAGATGCCCCTCTTTCATGAGGCTTAGTCTGGTAGGAGACACTGATAGGTTTATAGGCAATTACAATAGATTATAAGATGTATCATCAGAGAGAAAGAACAGTTCCTTGTGATCTTTCTTGTTTTTGTTTTGTTTTGTTTTTGCCTTTGCTTTTGCTTGTTTGTTTAGAGACAAAGGTCTCTCTATGTTCCAGGCTGGTCTTGAACTCACCATGTAGGCAGGCCAAACTTGTGATAATCCTCCTGCCTCAGCCTCCCAAGTGCTGGGATTACAGCAGGGTGCCACCATGCCTGGCTTCTGGCCATCTTCAGAAGGGATAGATACTTAAATCTGGAGACCCAAAAGACTAAGTGACTGACTCAAGGCCACATGGATAATGGAGGAACTAAGATAGGAAACCACCTGTTCAGAATTCCAGGCCAAGTGTACTAATGACATTATCCCACGTCCTCTGTTACAGGCAGGGCTGGGCAGTGTAGCACTTTTGGTTCACAGTACCATCCTCTGTTTCAGGAGTATTGCGTGACTCATGAAATACTGAAGAATGTGAGCCCCTCAGAAGCTAAACTCACTAAAGATCCTAGCATGAAGTGTAAAGTCAGATTCAGGTAATATGCCTGTGCTGCTTTCTTTCACGGAGTACTTTCTTCACAAGGAGAGATCTTAGAAATTCCTCTTCTAAATCTTCACAGTTCTTCAGCTAACATTACCAAGTCAGTGTGTTGTCCTTCTTTGCATTTGTTACACACAGAAACTGAGGCCTGATGTGGGCTCAGTGTGGCTGTGAGAGCAGCTCTCCACGGCCGTGTGCAAGCAGTCTGACGTGGGTATGAGAAAAGTGCACATGCCCATGGATGCAGGCTCTTCCTCTGTGGGGCACTGTATCGCCAGCTCTCTGTGCGCTCTCGCCATAGCCCTGTGCTACAATCCAGAAACTGCATAAGCTATCTTAAATACAGAGGGAAAGGAACGTAGCCACTGAGCTAATGCTAAATGACTAATTTTTGGTCTTTATTTCAGATTTAGTGGTGAAACATTTCCACCTTTCATCGTGTTTAAAATTTTTCTTCATACTGAGGGCCATGGTTACAAGTATTTCAGCGGGAAAAATTTATTCAAACCATCAAGCAAGGTGATGTTTTATGGTGTACATTTTATGTTAATATAGCTTCTTAATATCTAAGTGCTATCTGAGTCACATCCAGAGTGTGCAGACTAAGTTATGTCACCATTAAACAGCCCACTGGGCAGGTAGCTTTTTTAAAGTATCATGTTTCAAAGTGTCTCCATTTATTAGCTAAAAACATTTGGAATGAATTACTTATATAAGGCTCCAGGAAATATCCATCCATTTTCTCTGTTATTAAAATTCTGCCCTGTTAATAATGAACTAAAGCAGCATATTGGTTAGGGTAGAACGTGTGATGCATTTTATTCATTCTAATGGAATTTTATTATTTCTTTGATTCTGATAGCATAGTTAGAAAAAATGTGCTGGATTATGCTATTGAAAATGAATTTTTAAAATATTTCTCCTTTCTTTACATGAGTTCTCATTATAGCTTTCCATCTCATGAATAGTAACCATAATTATGTGTACAGAGTAGGAATCATCCGGGGATCTTGTTAAAATGCTGCTGCCACTGCTGGTCGTGGAGCGTGCTTTTTTAATTTTTATTTTTCTTAACGCATGTGTGCAATGCATAATGTTTATATTCCTTGTGGGGAGTTGGTCCGAGTATGCAACACATCTCAATTCTTCTTTTGGTCCCTTTCTCCGCCCTTCCCTCCATCTCCCCATTCCCTTCCCTTCTGCAAAGGATCCATCTCCTTCTTTCCTATTTTCTGTCTTTTATTTTGCTCTTTCATTTATTTATAGTCGTGTTTCTCACGTAAAAGAAACCATGGAGCATGTTTTTAATAGCAAGTATCTGCAGCAGAGGCTTTACCCTTTTGACCCTCCTACTGATAGTAACTGAGCTAGAGACCTTCCCATAAACCGCACAGCGAAGGTTTTGTCATGGGCTGTGTGTGGATCAGTGGGGAAGCCCTTGCTTCCATCCCCAGCATCACACGTACGCACACACACATGCACATGCACATGCACACACACACACACACATTTTGGAACTATTTTACACAGAAAGCACCCTCAATCATGAGTTGTAGCACATGTCCTGGGAAGAAGACCCCACAGCACTGAGTCTCCGAAGAGTATTAGGAAAGGAGCAGGACTGCTTTCCTCTTCTCAGCAATAGCAGAGCAAAATTCACTCCATTTTGCTAGTGTAGCAAATAAACTAAATGTTTTGACCATGGAAAATGATGTTTCAAAGGCATTAGTATTTGTACATTTATATGTTTGTCTTACATGTGAGGAATAAATGTGTGTAACCTTCATCTGCAGAATAAGCTGATAGCTGTCCTGATCATCAGTCGTTTTTTTTCCAGAGGTTGTATAATGGGGTTTTTCCAGGAGCTAAAATCCTCCTGGGTCAGCCCCTGTCAGCTCCTGCCATGCCTAGGCTTGAGAAAGTAAGAAGCTTAGAGGCAGGAACCGGAAATCACTGTGTGTGCGTTAAACTCATTAGGGTGCTGTGTGATAAGTTCATTCATTTTTTGGTTTTCTTTGTCTTGAGTCTAGGCTTTCTTTTTTTGTTTGTAAAAATTTATTTTTGTTTAAACTATGTTGGAAGAAAATGGAAAATGTTTTATATCTTTCTTTTCTGTGCTAGAACTATCACTTTCCAGGGAGTCAGCACTGGTAAGAGCTTGTTATATAGCCTTCATTTTTCCCATAAAAATATATAGATATTTATAATTTTGTTGGTTCCAATTGTAGAAATGTGATCATACTATTCAGGTGGAGCTTTTCACCAAACCTTATAATGAGTTTTGAATGATAACATATCCAGCTAGACGGAAAAAGTTTGGACTTCCTTTGTCATTTTGTCCCACTTTAAACAAACTCTAATAACACTTAGATTTGTGATTGATAGAAAACTTGCAGAAATGGCATTTTTCTCACTCTAAGCTTACTCCACTTTGCTCTTTGATATAATGTGTTTAGCAAACAGATCCAGCTTTTCTTAAGTTTACTTATTTCTTCCTTTCTTTTTTTTCTTTTTTTTTGTACTGGGGTCGAACTCACAACCTCACACTTGACAAGCAGGCGGTGTACCACTTAGCTATATCCCTGGCCCTACTTTATGTATTTCTTAAAATGAAATAAATGAGTTAGTTTTAGTCTACTTAGATGTTTGACTAAGTTCACTCATAAAGGAAGAGGAATTTCACTACTTTTTTGTTTTTGTTCCATCTTTTCCCTTATTTCCATTCTACTTTCATTTCCGTCCTTGTCATTTTCTAGCTGTCATTTTCATGTTTTGTTTGTTTGTTTTGTTTTGTTTTGTTTTTGAGTCAGGGTCTCCTTATATAGTCCAGGCTGGCCATTAACTCATGATGATCCTCCTGCCTCAACTTCCCAAGTGCTGGGATTCCAGGTGGCTTCTCATGTATTCTTGAAAAATGAAAACCAAAATAAATGACAGGGTATAGGATAGTCTAAAGAACTTTGGAGAAAAAGAAGAAAAAGGATTTATACTACCTAATTTCAGAGCCTACAAAGCCACAGTAATCCTGATGATGTAATGGTGCATAAAGGTAGACATACAGATCAATAGGAGAGAATGGAAACTTCAGAGACAGACCCACATACAGATGATCAATTGATTTTCTCAAAGGCGCCAAAGTGGTTTGGATGATGCCAGAACAGTCAGCTAGCCGTGTAGGAAAAGAGACAACATTTCAGTTGCCCACTCTGATGACCTGTTTTCTGAGCAGTGCTTATTTACAAAGGGTTAGCATTGCCGCTGCTCTGCCAGCAAGCAAGTGCAGACCAACCTTGATGCTTTAAGGATGATCTGCAGCCCCACAGCACTGGCATCCCCCAGAGGCTGTTCAGAGGCTGTTCGAATCACAGACTCTCAGTGCCCTATAATCCTAGGGACCATACCAGCTTGAAAGCACAAGCCTACAAGCACCTCCCATTCCATGGCCTGGAACGCCTCTGGGGACTAGGCTTTTTCCCCAGATCAGATGGTAATGTGCCTACACAGTAGCAGAGTTTGAAGGAGACATATCTCACACAGTGGGGGGAACCCCCCCATCATCACACCTGTGAACCGCAAACAGGATCAAGTTGACCATTCCTAACACTTAACATCCAGAATGTTACCTTCAACCCAAAATCCCTGTGCCCCTTTCAGCAGCACATATACTAAATTGAAAACTCTTGTCTTTTTGACGATTGTTTATAATGATAAGAAAAACATTATTATTAACAATAGCTACTCTTCTTAAAGGATCACTTCTTTTTTGAGACAGTGTCTCACTTCATAGTGCATGCTGGCAATCCTCCTGCCTCAGCCTCCCCAGTGCTGGGATTGCAGGCATGTACCACCATGCCTGGCTACTGGATCACTTTCTATCAGTTGTAATCTTAAACACTTTCTGTATAATATTCCCATAAACACTGTTATGTGTATTGTTACTATCCTTATTTTTAAAAGACCAAGTAACTAGCTCAAGTCTCACACGTGGAAAGTGAGGGAACTGAGCCCGAAGCCGGGATCTTAACCACTCCTGAGAGTCCAGAACCTTGCTGTATGCACATTCTTCACATGGTCCTCAGTCACTTGCAAGGAACATCCTATTCACATTTTGCCTGTGCAGAAGCTAGAACTTGGAAAGACTTGTCAGGGCCACAACTGAGACCTGAACATCTTGCATTTCCTCTGTGCTGTGAATATTTCAAGGTTATAAACAATCCCAGCAGTTATGGAGCTGTTAGTGCATCTGAGCCTAAATAGAATTTCACTATTCCAAACCAAGGAACTGTCCCGTTATCATTCCTTTCTTGAGCAAGAATTTCTAGCAGGGATGGGAAAGTGACTTCAGATCTTAGAGTAACTTTACAAACCTAAGTATGGATCTTGGCCAGCAAGTAGCCAATAAGCCATGGGGACTCTTGGGACACAGTGATGCTGAGCATTATGGGAAATGTCAGATTTAGAGATGCCCCCCCCATGACCCTTTGAATCACACTCAGTAAGAACAGAACCTGGCTCTTAAATCTAACTCTGAATGGCTGGCATCCCGGAATCGTGGCCTAGTTTTTGCCCACTCTTTTCTTCTGAGTCTGGGGCCTTCCTTCCCCTTGCTTCCTATGGGGAAAGAGTTTCCTGAATGTGGCCGTACCTATTAGATGTCTGACAGAGGACATCTTGGCCATTAGAAGGCCGGCCCCTCTCACAGATGGGCTGAGAGTTTTTCCTATGCTTCCAGGCCTGATTTTCTTTGGCCAAGGGGCTAAAGTGGGCCAGAGACAGTTGAGCCACCCAGCTGAGGCACTGTGCAAATAAAGAAACTGGAACTTGGAGAGGCTGCTGCTGGTAGCTGAGTGGGCCAGTGGAGGAAGGAGCTGACAATAAATACCTCCTCTGAGTACTCTCAACTAAAGTAAAACTAAAGAAATCCCTGCAGCAGAAATCACTTGGTTTCCATACACAGTGATGTGTTTTTACTGTCATGTCACTGTAATGAAAACCCACAAGAAATTAATTGCAAGGAAGCAAACCGGAGAGATGTGCTGATACTGTCTTTTCTTTAGATGTACAATGTGTAAAGAAATTAATGAAATGGAATAATGGTTGTAGTTGAAGAATAAAACTACAACCACTTTAAATATTTTCTTTTTTGTTGTTGTTTTTTGTTTTCCATTTCTGTGTTTGAGGCTTTGGACTTTAAAAAAAATTTTCTGGATAACAAAATTGGAGTAGAAAATATGTGAAGGCTACCTGTTGTGATGTGTTAAGTAAAAGGAACACAGATCCTGGATTTTGATCCTTTTGCAATCTCTTCTTTTTGGGGCCTCCTATCAGCATTTTCCCAGTATTCCCATACTTTCACAAACATCACACTATGAGATATGAAGGGAAAGAAAAAACGATCTAGAATCAAAAGATATTTGGATTTTCTTCTCCACCAGCCTCCCTCAATGTAAACAGACACTTTGTGGCCAGAAACACAGGTCCGTAATATAAATATGTGTTAGGAGAGTCAGCACATATTTGGGGGGCAGGGAATACTTCGGGCGCTCTTGCCAAGCTGTGTAAAGCTCTTAGCACAGGGGTAGGTACGTGTGGAAAGGTCTGGTGTCTGTCCAGCCAGACAGCATGGGAGCCTCTATGTTTTCTGCAATTCTTCTCTCTCTCATCTCTCAGATGTTTTCCTTGAGTATAAACTGTTGACATTTGAGAAGGAAAAATCCTTTATTTGCTTCTTTGGCCACTGAATGAAGTCTGAAGGGGAGAGAGGCTAAAGCAACCTGAAACGTACATATTTCCATCTAGGGACAATGTATTAACTAGCACATAAAAGAGCGTCGGCCCGGTAACACCTTTCATTGCAGTTCCTAGGGCAGCCTGTTTAATCACCCAAAAAATTTCTCTGCATTGACGGCACAGATGACGTTATAGGCTCATTCTATCTTTTAAAGCAAAAGAATGTTTTTCAGGGACAAGAAACAGATTTTTAAAAACGGGTCCTCTGAGGATTATGGACTGTACTGCTCAAGCTGCCTTTAAAAACTATATAGCGGGGCTGGGGATTTAGCTCAGCGGCATAAATGCCTGCCTCAAAAGCAGGCAGTTGTGGGTTCGATCCCTGGTACCGGTAAAAAAACGAAAAAGCCAAAAAAAAAAAAAAATAAAAAAAAGCTATATAGCTATAGTGTGGAAGGAAAATTATAAGTGGTTAAAAAATCCCCATAGAGTCTCCTTCTTATAAATATAGCCTTTCTATTGAATAACAAACTGCTAGGGGAAAGGAACAGTATTTGGTGTATTTGTCAGGAAGAAAAATGTGAAGCATGTACTGATCACTAAAAATATTATAGTACTATTATGTTTTAAAATCTATTTTCTGTTTTCTTTATAGGCAGTAATTGATGCTTGCAAAATGATGGGAAGACAGAAATTTTACGAGCAAATTATGGAAGATGAACGTCTTTTTCAGAAGTTCAAAGTAACTGACCACGTAGATATTGTCACCACACAAGATTACATGCAAGTAAGGAATTTAGATTTAGCTATTGAAAGCCAAACAACAAAAAAGGCCTTCCTGACCCTGTCCTTCAAGAAGAAAGAACAATACATGTGTTTATTGTGGTAACTACAAACAACCTAACATTTACTGCTTTGGCCATTTTAGAGTACACAGCTGACAGGAGTGAGCGCCTGTCACTACCAGTAAGCAGCCATTCCTCATTCCTCCGGCATTTCAATCTCTGCTGACCAGCAGTCAGCTTCCTGTCTCTGTGAGTTTGCTTAGACTAGATAGTTCATGTAAAGGAGTCATGTCACATGTGGCCTTTTGTGTTTGGGTAGCAGGGTAGCTGGTGATAGCTATGGAATGTGCGGCTTCTTGCCAGGTGTGGTAGTGTACATCTATAACCCCAGCCCTCAGGAAGCTGAGGCAGGAAGATCACTGTGAGTTTGAAGCCAGCCTGAACTACATAATGAGACCTGCCCTGCCCCCCACAAAAAAAAAAAGAAAAGGAAAGGAAAAGGAAAAAAAATATGAGATTTCTTTATGGGGTAATGGAAATGTTTTAGAATTAGTGACAATAGTTGCATAATGTTATAAATATATTGAAAACTACTGAACTGCATACTTTAAAGTAGTGTAATTTACAACTGTTATACTATGTGAGGTCTTTTGGGGGAGGGTACTCAGAATCAAATTCATGATCTTGCACTTGCCAGGCAGGCACTTATGCCACTGAGCTAAATTCCCTGCCCTATATTATGTGAGTCTTATCTCAGTTTTTAAAAATCACTACAGAGTGCTAACATAGTTCATGATGAGGATTTGACCTAGTAAGGAAGGGTTCTCATCTTGATTGGATGCTTTCTGCTACAAGTAACAGTATTCTCAACCACAAGAGGCTTAACCAATAATGACTACTTATTGTCCTGTTAAAAGAAGTTCACGGATAGCCAGCTCCTGGGCCAATTCAGCAACCCAAGAACATTCGGGTTCTGGGTTAGCTTCTCTCCAGTCCTCTTGGCTTCCTTCATATAGTAACAAGATAATTAAAAAATCCTCAGCTCCATTCAAGAGATGGGAAGAGTGAGGCTCTTAGCATCTTTCTCTCTTCATCTCAAGAAGGCGAATCTTCCCCAGAAGCCTCTGACGGACTTCTACTTAGGTCTCATTGGTCAGAAGTGGGTCACATATTCCCCTAACCAAGCATTGGAAAGGGAAATGGCACCTGTTCCCACGACTGAATTAAAACAATCATGGCCCGTGTGCTAGGACCTCTTCTCAAAGCACAATACTATTCCATGCCTCAATAGTATGGCTTGTGAGCGAGATAGGAGTAGGGCAGCCAGTCAATGACAAGTGTCAGTCTGGGGGTGAGCAGGCGGCTCTAGCAGGCAAAGACTCTGCGGCAGGAGGAGATGCTGGCCCTGAAAGACATCTGGGGGCTGAAGGAGGAAGTGCACTAACTGCCTGGGGGCTGCTACCAGGTCATGCAAGGCTTTACACCACAGAAAAGGATTTTTCTTCTCTGTTCAGTGTGAACGAGAAGCTTGTGCATTGTTTGAAGTCTAAGGAGTGAAGAGATTTCTTACTAGGTGTGACTAAAAATACAGTGAATACATTTTTAAAAAACTAAAAACTATTACAGTAAAAGACTCATTGCCATTAATCTCCCTCAAAATTCTCCCCTTTGGTTTGAACATACCTATCATTCTTGCCACTTTTGGAAGCAGTTCTGAAGTCCTCTTTCGTGAGTATCTCTAGTTGCATTGTTGGATTGGAGCTGCCTTGACATCCTGAATGGATTAAAAACACTTACCTTTCATGGTCATTCTGACTTTGGGGAAGAGTCAGAAGGTGCACAGTACAGGTCCTGTGAATAAGGTGATAAGCACACATTAGAATGTTTTTATGAGCCCGCCTTTCAGTTAAATGGCACTTGCAGCAGCATTCACTATACGGTGTTTTGATCACACCACATAAAGACTCTAATGAAAGAGGACTTCCAGAACTGCTTGAGAAAGTGGTAAAAACAATGGGATAAGTGTGTTCAAAGAAAAGGGGCGTATTTTGAGGGAGATTAATGACAATGTATCTTTTTTTTGTAATAAAAATTTTCAATTTAAACATTCATTGTAAATTTCAACCACACTTTGTACCTCAGAGGCTCCTGAGTATTTTAGAAGAAATAAGGTAGCCTTGGTTTAGAGCTGTGATTCTGGAAACACTGAGATGGCATTTCCACCCAATAGGCCTGGGTGTCCAGGAGGGAAGATAAAGCATGACTCCTAAATTTTTGGTTTGTATGATTCAGTAGCTAACAGTGCAGAATTAGGGCACGTAAGCTAGACATCTGAATACTAATGACAAGAGTTATTATTCTTTTATTCTCGGAACAGTCCAAAGAGAGAGATACTGCTATTACCCTCATTTTTCAAGGTTTTATTGGTAAGTCTTGGGTTTACCATTTAATAATTTTTTTAAATTTTATTGGTATATATTTATAGTATACAAGGATTACATTCATCATGGGGAGTTGGTACACACACATAAGACAGCTTCATTTTTGCAAGTTAGAAAAAAAGTGATCTCTAAATTCTGCCTCATAATGATGTGTATGGCCTTAACTCTTCACTCATTCACTTCAATATGAAACCTAAAGTTAATGTGGCACTTTAGAGACTCTGGAGTATTTTCTTTCTTTCAGAGTATAAGCGATGAGAATAGGGAATTGGACCAGGAAGCATGTAGAGCTTGGGATGTCAACTATCTTTGCTAAGGATATAGGTGACATCCTTGCAGATGGTTAATATGTCAAGGGTTGGCGTCACAAAGAGGACTCTCTGGAGTGGAGATTGGAAGAGAGAGATAAGAGGACTGTGGACATTACTGAGCTCATGACAGCATTGTTTTTAGCTTTTACAGGCATGTTATCGCCTTTAAACTTTGAGTTTGTAAATTACGTGACCCTTTTTACAGATGAGAAAAATGTGGTTTAACAAGGTTCAAAACAACCTTGTTCAAGGTCGCACAGTGAATAATTGACAGAGCAAGCCCTTGACAGGCCTGCGGTAGTTACTCATTTTACTACCCCTCTCTCGGGAAATAAAATATACAGGCAGTTTCACTGTGAACAGTAGTGTAGAGCCATAAACATCATCATGCAAGCTGAAATCATACAAAGAAAACTTAATAATCAGTAGGAAAATTTGTGATTGTCCTGTGACCTTTAAAAATTTTTTTTAAAAAAATGAAAACCTCTGTCTGTCATAAATAAACAAAATAGGAAAATGAAAGGAAAAACCTACACTTTCATTATGCTGTGATTTAAAATAGCTCTATTGGAAATGAAAGTTTTCTTTCTTTGTGAACACTTAGCAACTGTGAGTACTAAAAGCCACTGAACTGTGTATTTTGCATGGGTGAATTACAGAGCTGTGAAAAAAATGGACTGGAGATGTAGCTTGGTGATAGGGGGCTTGCACAGCATATGGGAGACCCTGGATTAAGTCCTTAAAAACCCCGGTTTATTAGGAATAACTTGGACAATACTTGCCTTCTTATTCTTCTTGTGTAAACTGCAGTAGGGAGCAGGCATCTTTTCTGTGCCTTGATGAGTTGTCACACTCCTGAGCTTGGATCAGCTGCCAGCATTTTACTCTGTGCACTTTAACTGGTGTGAAGTATGTCAGCGTCCCTTTAATGTGAAGCTTTCTCGGGCCAGCATTACTTCCTGTGGAACAGCCTCATCCTTTTAGTCATGGCCACTCCCCTTGCTTGGGTTTACTGATTGCCTTCACCAAGTTCCTCTAGCTGAGCATCTGTAAGTCTTCTTAGTGATGGCAGCAGTGACTTCCTCTTGGTCACTTGTTTCTTCTAGGATTGTACCTACTTGTGATGCCCACTTTGAGTTTTCTGGCCAATGCTCTTTTGGTTATCCAGCTCTGGAAAATGTCACCTAGATTTACCATAAAGAGGCAACACAGTGGGACATAGTGGCATATGGTTATAATCCCAGAACTCAGGAGGCTGAGGCAGGAGGATCACTGTAAATTCCAGGCCAGCCTGGTCTACAAAGTGAGTTCAAGGCCAGCCTGAACTGCTTATGAAACCCTGTCTCAAAAAGACAAAGCAAAACAAAGAGGCCACATAATCACAAACCTTGCCATCCACATGTAAGCTGAAGACCAAATTAAAAGTAACCAACTGCTGAAAGCCTAAAAGGAATGAAATGATTTGTTACTATGAACATTTGTCATCTACGTGGTGGTATAAGAGCTGATGAACTAGTGGCCAAGTGTGCTCTTTATGCAGTTGCCCCAGTTGTACTTCAGAAGCTTCAAGTGGCACTCTGTTGTTGGGGGGCTGGTATTACTTAAGGGAATAGTGGCAACTGAAGTGTGTACATGCCAAAATGATGCAAAGGGAAGGCTGCCTCTGTGTGAGTATGCGAGAGTATGTGCATATGGTAAGTGTGTATGTATATTATACCATAAAGGCCTCCCTGTTTCTAGCATGGAGGCCTCCATTTCCTAGTACACTAGCTCCTCCTACACCCTATCTCTATCTCTTATTAAACACACATTTACAATGTTAAATTGATTATATATTTTCGTTTCTAAAACTCTAATTTGGCTGGACATGGTTTACACCTATAATCCCAGCACTCAGGAGGCTGAGGCAGGAAGATTGCTGCGAGTTTGAGGCCAGCTTGGGCTACGTAGCAAAATCCTGTCTCAAAAAGACAAAAATAAATAAATAACCCTAATTTAATACAAGTTAAAATTGGAAAAAATAGGCTGGGTGTAGTGGCACATGCCTGGAATCCCAACACATGGTAGGCTGAGGCGGGAGGATCACTGCGAGTTCAAGGCCAGCCTGTACTACATAGTAAGACTATATCTCAAAAGAACAAAAGCAAATTGGAGGGGCTGGGGATTTAGCTCAGTGTCATAAGTGCATGTCTTGCAAGCACATAGTCGTTAGTTCGATAGCCAGGACCAAAAAAGAAAAAAACACATCAAAATAAAAAAATTGGAAAAACTGTAAAGTGGGATTTCTATAACTCCAAATGAAAATAGTGCAAATCGTGGAATTCTTCACTATGCACCAAAGGGTGATCTAATTATTTCTAAAAAGATTTTGTGCAAATGTCCTCTCGACCCACACATGTCACAAATGACCACAGAGCTACTATGAATTTTAGGCCCTTCCTGGGTTTAATTTACCTGAGTTATATGCCCATGAAAACATTTATGCATTAAACATTTAGTGAGTGTGGTACCATGTACAGAAGCTGTGTGACATGGCTCCTGGCTTCCAGTAAGGGAGCTAAGATGCTTACAGGTGGCTCAGACACCTTTCATTGTCAGTAGTCATAAAAGAGAGATGTCCATAAGAGTTCAGAGATGAGCCGTTTACTCAAAGAGTGCCTTTTACAGGAAGTGACATTTGAGGGGAATTGTGTGAAATGTGTCTAAAACCATTAGAGATTGCCAGGTGAGGTGGCTCACGCCTGTAATCCACGCACTCGGGAGGCTGAGGTGGGAGGATCCTTGTGAGTTCGAGACCAGCCTGGGCTACAAAGTGAGCTCAAGGCCAGCCTGAACTGCATAGCAAGACCCCATCTCAAAAAAGACAAAAAAAAAATTAGAGATCATCCACAACCAATCATTCCAAATCATTTTTCCATATAGTATTCCAGCCTTCTGGATGAGATCCCTGCATCGTCTGGTGGCAAGAATAACCTTTGGCGAAGATTAAACCTCAAAAGCATTCCCAGGACAATGATGATATATGACATAGTTAATTATGCAGAGTCTGGAGTAATGTCAGGCCGTTTACAAAAAGAAATGAAGTATCTGTTACAGAGACCGCAAACGGAAGAGATGCATCAGCACCAGCTACAGATTGTTTCTGAAGTTAGGTAAAACAGATCCTTCCTCAGGTTCCACTGCTATAGACCTTCCTGAAAATGTTCACATTCTGCCAGAGAGCTCACTAAAGATAATAATAGGTATATGGGAAAAATCAAGTTGGGGGCAGACAGCCCAAAATATATACAACTTCATAAACAAAGCACTCACAAAAAGGACAATTGGGGGCTGGGGATTTAGCTCAGCGGCATAAGCGCCTGCCTGGCAAGCATGAGGTCAAGAGTTCCATCCCTGGTACCAAAAAAAAAAAAAAAAAGGACAATTGGTACCTGGGGAGATAACTCATCCCACCAGATGGGCAGCTCAGGCCACCTGGAGGTTGCCACAGCAAGCAGGAAAACTGCATGGTGATGGAGAGAGGAGATGTTGGCCACTCTATAAGGTCGTGGACACTGGACAGTGTGCAGATGGTGGGGGAGCCTTAGGTCAGGAGTATGCAACAAGCCGAGAACTGAGAGCCATCCAAGGCCAGGACAGTGGAGAGTGCAGAAAGGGCAGGTTAGGGGTGCACCAGCCTCTGGGGAGAGCCCGAGTAGAGGTGCTGGTGTTTGTTTTCAAGAGTGTGGCTGAAGGAGCTCCCACTGTCCATGCAGCACAGTGTGCTGAAGGTTATAATTCCATCCTCGCTATTCTGGTCACCTTGCCTAGGATAAATTGCACATAAATTACAGTGACATTATTCCCTTCTTTACCAATAGCATGTGGACCAATTTGCAGTTTGGAAATGCGTGTTGTAGAAAAATAGGTGTATTATGATCTGAAACAACATGGACAGAATGTGACTGCCTCAATTACATTCCTTTTTTCTTTCCATTACTAAGACTCGCCTGGCCTATCTTATTTATAAATTAAGCTGGCTTCTTAAGAAAAAAAAGGTGATAAGATTGAAGAAGACTTATTGGTAATCTATTTTCACATACTTGTATTTGAATGAAAAATACACCTTTAGTACATGAAGAAGGCACTGATGACCCCACGTTAAGCAAACATGCTGAGATTTCTTCCAGAGTGAGATGAGTGAAGCTGACCCTGTAACAAAATTTCACCCATTTATTTTATGATCAAGGCTATACATTTGCCAGACAGATGGCCTGGTTTAGGACACAGTCTGTCATCACGAAATAGATTTTCTCTAACTCATCCATATGAGCACTGAATAGAGAACTTAACCCTGCTACCACCAAGGTCAAATAAATGATGTCATTTTCTTTGCCACCATATATAATCCTAGGCTCTCTGCTATTTGGATTCTTGCTAAGGATTATCTAAGAATGAATCACTCAAGAGCCAAATTCTAAATCAATTGAGGGAGAAAACACACATTTAAAAAAGGCTCCTGGAATGCGGTCTTAGTTTGGGATCTCCCAGACAGAGGCAAATCCTCAGACAAGGATTTGAGTTTGAGTAGTGTATCTGGGAGGATCACAGGAACCACGGGTAGCAGGAGTGGAAAGTGAAACAGAAGAGAAAACAGCCAAACTGTGTTCACAAGCAAGTTGCCACTGTAACTAGAGTTTTTTTTCCCCTGTGGATGTCAGAGCCGAGTTATCCCACAGCAGCCAAGAGCCAGCACATTGCTAGACCGACACCCATCAGTCATTGGGTAAGAGCTGCTTAGGAAAGGAGGTATTCATTTTCAGGCACTTCCAGCCTGCTCTGCCTAATGGGCTCTTGTTTTCAAAGACACGTGTTAATGCCATCAATGCAAATGCTTGCAGATGGACATTGAGCTGACGTGCCTTGCAGTGGAAGGGCCAAGGGTGGAATCAACTGTGTCTGATCCCAACACCGATTTTTTAAAAAAGCCTCTGGCTGAGCACAGTGGTACAGCTGTAGTCCCAGCTACCTGGGCAGTTGAAGGAGGAGGATTGCAAGTTTGAGGCCAACCTGAGCTGAGACCCTGTCCCGAGATAAAATTTTAAAAATGGGTTGGGGATGTAGCTCAGTGATAGAACACTGCTTGCCTAGCATGCATAAGGTCCTGGGTCCCATCCTAAGTGTCACACACACACACACATTTTCTTTTTAACCTTTATGACATGTGATGCTCTTTTGGTATCAGCATATGGTATTTTAAAAACTCAGTCTCTACTAATAGTATTTTCCAGAAAATTTTATTTTACATCGATAGCAGATTCTATCATTGTCATCAACGTTAGGAGCTCCACACTTCCCTAAGTACCAGACAGAGCAATGCTTGGAAATTCAAGCAGCAGTGACCTTGAACCTAAAAGCTGGCCCATAAAGTGAGGTTACACTTGCTAAAGTTTTAGTACAATTTGGAACTTGCCTTACATTTACATTTTATTTTGTGTGCTTTTTCTGTCTGTAACACAAAACGTCTTGTAGGAGTCCATCCTTGGCGAGTCTCCATCCTTTATATCGGCCCTACCAACAACAAAGTAAAGTGAGACATTTGGGGCGTCGATCTAAGCAAGCACAAATGAAAGTTGAAAAAATGAGAGAAGCTTATATGACACCTAAGAAAAAAGATGCTTCAGAAGTAAGTGTAAGTTTGATTTGTACTGAATTCATTGTTTTGAGCAATATTCAAATGGCCTGTAAGACATTCTACTTGCATAAATAAGATTTTCCTAATCTGCAAGTTCCAGGCTGAAACACCTTTGGCACATTATACCTTGGATGGTATAAAGCTCCTTTCATCTTGGTAACAATATTTTTAAAATTCTTAAACAATATTAGTAGCTATTATGGTAAACAATAACTATTTTGATGCCACATCAGCATGAATTGGAAAAAAACTATCATCTCTATATGATGACACCATAAACCAGCACATCTCTCATGGTGCTTTTCTCAGAATAAACTCATCTCTAAGTTGTTTTTGAAAGACTAGGTCTTACTTGCTATGTTGCCCAGAGTGGCCTCAACTCCTGGTCTCTAGTGATTCTCCTGCCTCAGCATTCCAAGTAGCTGGGACCCCAGATACGGCTTTATATAAACTTAATAAAAACTGTATTATGAATGAGCATAGTGGTGCATGCATGTAATCCCAGCACTCAGGAGACTGAGGCAGGAGGATTGCCATGAGTTTGAGATCAGCCTGGGCTATATAGTAAGATCCTGTCTCCAAAAAAAAACCTATATTATGTAGAGTGTATTTTCACATTGTAGAGATATTTACACAAACATATGTTGATGTATTACTTTGTAATGGTAAAAAAAGCTTTTGTGAAATTTTGGGAGGTGAAGCCAAGTATATAGAGCCAGATATAAAAAACAAAAAGTGGTAAAAGCCAAACATAGAACACTTGCCACTTTTATTTATAATTCTAGCAACCGCAAACAGCCGCGCCACCTAAAAGGGTACAAGAGACGACTGTGTTCTCCAGCCCATCTTTCAACATTGTGAAATATAAAGAATTCACCTCAAGTAGTGACTTAAAAGAAGAAGAAGAAGAAGAAGAGAAAGAAGTATTTGCCTGGTATCAACAGTTGTATCATCAGTATTTTCCATGATGTCAATACAGAGCTAACTGACAGGACACCAAAGTTGCATGTCTGTCTAAAAATAAAGGAGAATCAAATAGAAGCAGGCCCTCAGTCTGCTCTTTTCACCAAGCACATGGCATTTTTTGTAAAATGCCTTTTGTGTTACCATAGGTGTAGATATGTTTTACTGACAGGATTCGAATCTGAATAAATTATTTCTATTAGATGTCTTTGAATCACCAGCATACACCATTGTTCAAGAAATGATGAGTACATTAGTTCCTGAGATTTTATTCAATTTTGACTTTTTGCATTTAAAAAAAAAATACCTGAATAAGCCACGCTGAGCATAAATACTAAAATTCACAGGCAAGAATGCTGCTCTGTAGTTAGCCTCGAGTGTCTTTTTGTAGGTGCGTGTTGTTTTTACAGAACAGCTTGAGAATGAGCTATCCTGAATTATGATAAAAGTAGTAATGGATTGTTGCTATGCAGGCATGGCATGGCATAGCTAATCATTACTGAGCATTGAAAGCACCTGAAGCAGAACTCGGCCTCTGCTTTAATGCTGCACTTTGGGTATTTTTCAAGCATAAAGACTGTTGTGAGTAGTATTTATCAAATTCATTTTGAATTGATAGATCGCATTCCTGATACAGTGAAAATTTTTGATTTCTTCTGTGATCCAGGATTATACCACACCTTTTCAGAGCCCACAGTAAATAAAATACAGTTATCCTGTGCTACAATATTGTCTTAAGTGATAAAGAATATCGCAGTAAAGGTTTGATTTCCACTAGAACATATGTCACATAAACATGCACCCTTTAATTTTAAGATAGCCTCATTTGATGTCTAAAAAAGGAAAATTTTCTCTTCTTCAAAGCATATAGTGGGTGCTGTTTGAACAGAAAAATGTCAGTTTGTTCGTATGAGTCACATATATTCTCATTCATTAATTTGGGAAGCAGCCCTTTATCCAATTAAATGTGTATCAGATTCAGTCCACCTATAGTTCATGAGGTAGCAAAGCTAAAGAACATTTCAGGGAACTGGATGAGGAAAAGCACACATCCCCTTTCAGGGCACCTAGTTCTCCTGTTTCATTAGCCCTAACCTCCATCTCACCATAATGCATTCAGCAGTCCAACCACCCACAGGAAGTCCTTTTAAAAGCAGGATGGCACATAATCCACCAGCATAACAATTGTTTTCTCTGCCTATACCATTTTAATCTATCTAAACACCCACATGCTTTTCCACATGGTTGTAATCACAGGTAACATGTAGATTTAAACTTTTCACTTAATGTTATGCCTTAGAGTCCATTTAGAAATACTTTTAATGGTCACATGATAGCCCCTTGGGTCGAAAAGCATAATTTACCTAGGTATTTTAGTTCCTAGTTTTTTCCTACTGTAGGTAATTAATGCTAGAATGGGCCTTTTCACATGCACTCTTTCTTTTGGCTATCTTTCTGTTATTTATTATCCTTTTTCTGTCAAACTGCACTGTAATCTGAGAACATAATTTGTATGATGCTGATTCTGGAAAATCTGTTGAGACTTTCTTTACAGCCAAGTACATGGTCAGTTTTCATAAATGTTGCAATCTTCAGAAAAATGCACATTCTTTATAGTTGGATACAATGTTCTCTCTCTGGCCTTCTGATCAAGCTTAGTAATTGTATTCTTTATGTTCCCTCTATGCTATTCATTTTTGGTCTACGACATCCGATACTGAAAACAGTCTGTTATGTATGTCCTACCCTGGTTGAGGACTTCTCAGTTTTTCCTAATTCTATGCTACAGTTTGGGTTCAGAGTGTCCCCCAAGGCTCACTAATTCCATTTCTTCTTCCTGGGAAAACAGCATTACATCTCCCAGCTTGTTTTGCAGTTCTGTTGGTTGGGACCATGTGAACTGAGTTCTGACCAGAGGAGTATGGGCAAAAGTAATGCACACACTTCTAGGCTTGGTGCTAAAATGTACCTAATATATCAGGTCTTCTACTTCCACCCCATCCCCTGTCACATGGGCAGAGGCAGAGGATTCCAAGGTTCTCAGCAGCAGGATTGCAGGCTCCCAGATGCTATACCACTGACAGAGGAGAGATGGCTACGTGCTGCAACGTGGAGAGCAACGTGACTGCAATGAGAGCAAGAAATCAGCTTGCCAGCATAGTGCCAGCTGCCCAGTGTGAGATTGTGAGTTCAATCCCTGGTGGTAAACAAAAGTAAAAGGAGGAAGAGGAGGAGGGAGAGGAGGAGGGGGAGGAGAGGAGGAGGAGGAGGGGAGGAGGAGGAGGGGAGGAGGAGGAGGGGAGGAGGAGGGGGAGGAGAGGAGGAGGAGGAGGAGAGGAGGAGGGGTAGGAGAGGAGGAGGAGGAGGGGAGGAGGAGAAGGGGAGGAGGAGGAGGAGGGGAGGAGGAGGGGGAGGAGAGGAGGAGGAGGAGGAGGAGGAAGAGGAGGAAAGAAACAAAGAAAAAGAAAGAAAGAGAAGAAATTAACTTGCCCTAGCACTCAGGAGGCTGAGGCAGGAAGATCACTGTGAGTTCAAGGACAGCTTCAGCCACAAAGTGAGTTCAAAGCCAGCCCAAACTGCATCATGAAACCCTGTCTCAAAAAGACAAAGAAAGAAAGAAAGAAACCTGGGGCCAGGAGTAGAGCTCAGTGCTGAGTGCTTGCTGACATGTGATCCTGAGTTCCATCCCCAGCACTACACAAGGAAAGAAAAAAGCTTGATTGTTTGAAGTCCCAGGAATCTTCCTAAGGTTTTGCTTAGAAAACAGCAAATATCTAGATTATTTTGTTTTAATCCAACTTGAAGATATATTTCTTTGAACTGATAAGTTTAACACATTTACTCTTTATTGTGGTTTTAAGTGTAGTTGTATTTGGAATTATTTCTACTATTTTATTTGGTGCCGTACATTTTCTGTTTTCTCCTCCTTTCTTGTTTTCTTTCAGACTGTTCCTTTGATCCTGCTTTTTTCCCTTATTGTTTTGAAAAATCATATACTCTATTTCTATCCTTAGTGATTACTTTTAAATTTTGGCATGTGTAAAATCTAACCCTCCTAAACTTTGAATCTCCCTCCTCTTGGGTTACAAGTTATTGTTACAGCTGATATTTTAGTACTATTTGATTTTGGTTTAGGTGGGATTTTTTTGAGACAAAATCTTGCTTTGTATTTCAGGGTGGCCTTGATCTTGCTATGTAACCTACGCTGGCCTCCTCCTGCCTCAGCCTCCCAGGTGCTGGGATTACAGACAAATGCCACCACACCCAACTCATTCTCTCATTTTTAACTTTGAAATTAGACATGATTATTTTCTTTAAATCTCAGGTTTTGGGGCTGGGGATTTAGCTCAGCGGCATAAGCGCCTGCCTTGCAAGCAGGCAGTCGTGAGTTTGATCCCTGGTACCGATAAAAAGGAAAAAGACCAAAAAAAAAAAAATCTCAGATTTTTATTCTGGGATCATTTTTCTTTATCCTGATATGTGCTCTTAGATGCTTTTTTACTGAGCATCTGTTCCTGATAACTCTCAATTTTTGGTTTTCTGAAAGTGCCCTCATTTCATCCTTTTTTCTTAAATACACAATTTAGGTAGGTATCAAATTCTACATTGACAGTGGTTTTCTCTCAGAAATCCAAAGCCATTGTTCCACTGCCTTGGCTGCTGTGTCTAATTGCTATTGCTTTTAGATGATCTCTTTTTTCTCCATGACAACCTTTAAGACTTTCTCTTTGTGTTTCATGTTCTGAAGATATTGGCTCTCCCACATTTTCTAGCTGCTAGATCTGTGTGTGTGTGTCGGTCTGTCTGTCTGTCTGTCTCTGTCTCTCTCTCTGTGTCTTTCTCCCTCTCCCTCTCCCTCCCTCCTTTCTCTCTACCTCCCTCCTGGAGGTTGAACCCCAGGCCTGAGCTATATACCCAACCCTCTTTTCTTTTGCCTTACTATCCTTTCTCTCTCTCTCTCTCTCTCTCTCTCTCTCTCTCTCTCTCTCTCTCTCTTCTGATACCAGGGATCAAACTCACAACCTCACGTTTGTCAGGTAGGCACTTACGCCCCTGAGCTAAATCCCTGGCTCTTTGTTTCTTTTCTTTTTCTTTTTAGACAGGGTCTCACTATGTAGCTCTGTGTAGTTCAGGCTGGCCTTCGCTCACTCACGTAGCCCAGGCTGGCCTCAAACTTATGGTGATCTTTCTGCTTCAGCCTCCCAAGTGCTGGGATTACAGGCACCGAACTTCTTTCATTTTTTTGAGATAGGGACTTACTGTAGCTCGGGTTGGCCTTGAACTCACTATGTAGCCCAAAACAAATGAGCCTCCTGCCTCATCCTCCTGATGAGTGCTGGGATTACAAGTGTGCTCCACCACGCCCAGCAACTGTACTATCCTGCGAGAGTCTGATTTTATGCAGAGGCCTCCATTCCAGCTCCTGCTTTCCCTAAGCTTGAGATCTTGCTTTGCACACACAGGAGGGCACAAATACCTGAAACTTAACGTCCCTACCCTTGAGAAATATGCTCTGGGCTCATTTCTAGCTCGCTTTTACTTTTCACTCCTAAGGATTTTCCTCCTGACAAGCCTTTTGTTTTGAGACAGAGTTTCATTATGCAGTTCAGGCTGGCCTTGAACCCACTTTGTAGTCCATGCTGGCCTCAAACTCATAGTGATTCTCCTGCCTCAGCCTCCCGAGTGCTGGGCCAACCATGTCTTATAAAAGATAGTGGTTTTTTTTTTCATTTTTTCTAGGATTTCTATGGGTTTTGAGTATTCAGTTTCTTCAGAATATCCTGTCTCCTGTTGCCTTATAAGCCACGGTCTACATTTCACTTCATCCCATTGAACTACATCCCTGGGATAAAACCTTGAGAGTGGCACCACTTACACCAGATTTCCAGCCTTTCATGGTGCTGTTCAGATGCATTATCATATTGCCTCCCAGCTGTTCTCTCTGCATGGTGATGCTAGATTGCTGTTTATTTGCCTGCTCCATGGAGGTAGAGTGCCATAATAACATAGGCTTCCAATCAGCCAAATCTGCCCCTCTCCTTCCCCACCTCTTGTTTCACATTCAGAAACATGAGAGAAATTTGCTCCCTAGAGGTTTTGTTGTAGTTTCAGATGTGAGAGAATTAAGAAAGGAAGTGGCAGCTGAGAGGGAGTTGAGGGGTTGGTCTCTAATGGTGGCTTGAACTCGGGACAGTGGCGTACACCTGTAATCCCAGCTACATGGGAGGCCGATGCAGGAGTATCACAAGTTCAAGGCCACCCTGGGCAACTAGGCAAGACCCTGTCTCAAAAATAAATATATAAATATTTTGGGGCTGGGGATTTAGCTCAGCGGCATAAGCACCTGCCTTGAAAGCAGGCAGTCGTGAGTTCCATCCCTGGTACCGATAAAAATGGGAAAAAAAGCCAAAAATAAAAAAATATATAAATATTTTTGAAGTCTGGGGTGTAGCTCAGAATGTGCAGGCCCTGAGTTTAATCTGTAGTACTAAAAAAAAAATGTCCAACATCGGGACTCCCTTTTCATGAATGGTACTTGGCTAAGTTATTTTAAGTGTGGCTTAATGTAAAATTATTTTGTGGTTTATTTGCATAATGTAGTATGTGAACGTATATACTATACGTATCAAATTAATGAAGTTTTAGTAACATGAGAACTTCATCTCTACTATCAAAGCTCTGCTCAGAAGTAAGGGGAGAAACTCATTTTTGGGCTAGGAA